CGAAATAGGGTGAATACATCTCGTTACACTGAGTTACTGGTAGTCTCGAAACCCTACTTTAATACGAATACATATGAAATGTAACAAAACTACGGAGAAATGTCTGGGAATCTACCACGTCCACGGTCCTCGTTTGGAAATGATCATGCAACAACTTCTATACAACAAAAGGAGACTTCGACCACAAAAAAGGTCTTCATACCTAAGATCTAGCCAAACTAATGTAGAGAGAAATTTCGTTTTGTATGAAAGTGCATGAAAAAGAGATTCATAGGTCGATCTCACCAGAAGAGGATGGCTGAATCACGTTGTACTGCAGCTGTTTGTATTTTATACAACGTTCAGGTTGACGCAGTCCACGAGACATTCCCGCGTTTTAGGTGAAAAGGGGCTGAGATTTCGTCCATCATAAGATGCACATCATCAGAACTGGGTCTCATTCCTGTTAAAGTTTCACTAGGGCAAGAGGACTCATGAGATTCATCGAAACCCAGTTACTCTTCGTATTAACAAAGCTAAGCCTTGAATGCGAAAATAGTAGGGATAGGTTAATACAAGATCATAATCTGTCTACTGAACGAAGATTAAGCTCACATTATAGCTTGTAGGCGAGGCTACACATGAATAGTTTTAATGGTGTAAATTGCCGGTTTTCGACTATTCAGCCAGACCCAGCTGTTCTCAATTGCCAGCCTCATGCAAATATTTACATAGTGTTTGTTCTTTTTCAGGGCATTGAGGTGAAATTTGATCGTCTCGATATGGACTCACGTCGGTACGACCGCAGCCAGCTGAGGCGTCCCTACACTAAATATTTTGGTACACTTCAGATTTCGAATATCCAGTTCGAGAATGAAGGCGTTTACAGTTGTCTGGTGCAGACTCCTCTCGCCTCAACCGAGCGGAAGGCCATCGTTCGCATCGCTGGTCCTCCGGGACCTTGTGCAGGTAAATGATTGAAAGTGGTGCATTCAAACAAACATGGAGAAATGTTAAAAAGCCTCAATTCAGATGCTGCTATCCCATTCGACTTTACTGGCTATGATACTCTTTCTTTGTAAGGTATTGCCTTGAACCCGAAGCTCGTTTCCTATCAGGTGATGATCCTTGGAAAAATGCACAAGTTTTTGATTTACAATTGACTCAATTTGGTTCATGGGTTCCTCTAAGACGGAGGCTTGGCGCATTCAAAACAACCTAAGTTGACTCCTCATTCGTGGTAAACTAGATATTGTCTTCTACTTTCTCCGACTGTCTTGCCAAAATAGTGAGTTTCCACTTTTTGACCTCTCAGAAAGATGGGTAGTGCAGATTTTCGAACTCGGCCATACTTTTTTTGTTAGGCTTACTTCCATTTCGAGTGGAAGTGTTGGGTGAAGAGATTCGAAGGTCGGTTTTACCAGAAGACGACGG